CTCTATACATACAACGTGGTTAATTTAATTCAACAGTATATTCCAAATCATCATATTTTTATTAAAACAGAATAAATAAATTATGATCATAATTAATAAATAAAAACACTGTCGTTTCATTATAATTTCTCTTCTCCGTGTCATGTTCTCTGTGACCATACGAACATTTGAATGGCATAATTGAGCTGAATGGGTACGTTGAAACTCTAGTTATTAGCTTAATGAAATAGTTTAGTTTGACAAACATATCTACGTTATGAAACTTCGAGGGTTTATCCCGTCGCGGAAGGAAACGGGGCGAGGTTCACAAAGTTCTATAAGGAGACGTGGGTTGCCTAATTAACCGCTTAATAGGGTTAAGTGTGGATAATTATCACTGGGTCCGGAAGTGCAACGTCCCGGTAGTTGACGAGCCGTCGCATAAAACGCGCGCGTTTCATCAGTTTGACAATATTTATAATAAATTGTTGGAGGAATCATAAACTTTCTTGATACAAGCATTTCTAAAAAATCTTGGGTACATATACGTCTGTATAATTTTTTTGTAGGCACGTTTTTCCTTATTTATGAATATATTTTTTTGAAGACGACGTTATGTCTGAGTTACGTTATGTACAAGCCGCCATTCCTACTTCTGGTAAATTGTAAATTACAAAACCTGTTACGGGAAAAGTGTTTCATGGTTTCTTTGAAACGTTTACTATTCTTGGTAACGCGAGGCAGAAAAAGAAAACGAAAAAGCGAAACACGAACCAGGATGTTCTTGCTATAATCTCCTGACACTGGTTTCCACCGTTGTTGCTGAAAGCAATTTCGCTTTCTCACCGTTGATAATAATACTCAACTTCTGCAGATGGAACTTCGATAAGATTGAACCAGACATTCCACAGGCAATTAGTTTTACCTGTATTCAGCAAAATATCTACAGTTATAACATTTGAAGAATTAAATGAATCTCTAAGTAGATCGACAATATCTGTCTGTTTTTATAGAAATCTGAATTGTCATAAAGATTCAATGAATAATTAATTAAATCGTTTGGTCATGTAATGAGATTGAAATATTCCACTGTAACTTTATTACCTGTTCCTATTGGCAATTGTAGCTATTTCTGTTATCGAAGCATCTGTAATTCCGTCAAAGGAAGAATGAGAAGCAATTAATGGGAGGTTCGTCGAGCGAGAAATTTATACGTTCATGACAAAAAGAACGCTATGGACTGTTGGTTCATGTAAAACGTAATTGTACCATACTCGGTGATTCCTTTACGTTTCCTTGCTTTGCTCGGTTTAATTAGTACAAATTAACTAGGCAACTCAATGGCTCAAGCTTTATATAATCCTGGATATCTGCGGAGACTGCAGCTTTACATAAGTCATTTTTATTCTAAAGTTTCATTAACAGATAGATGGCCGTTTTTAAAAAAGTATTTTCAAGTCAGTACTCATGACAGATGCTGTCGAATGCATATTGATTCAACGTTCTAATACTGTATTCGTATTCAGTTTCCAATTCAAATGACGAAGGCGAATACATATTCATTAGTTCTTTGTATCCTCTCTGAGATATTTAACTATATAAGTTGAATATTTTAGAATATATGGTTATATTTGTTTCGTAAATGTTGTGACAGCTTTAATCGTTTGGTAAATGATTAGTCCAAATTATTCTATCATTGTTGAATGCATAGTTTATTGCATTTGGAGTTAAATATTATAATACAAAATGCATCAAATTATAATACAATCAAAATGTAATCAGTTTATTTTCAAACATATTCTATAGTCAACTGTGTTAGTTCTTTGTATCCTCTCTGAGGTATTTAACTGTACAAGTTTTAGGTGATATTTTGTTTAGTAAACGTTCTGACAGTTTCAATCGTTTGGTAAATGATTACTCTAAATTATTCTATCATCGTTGAATGTATCAAATTATAATTCAATCAAAATGTAATCAGGTTGCTCCCAGACAGTGTAAATTAAATCATGAACTGTTTTACCTAAACCGCGGGCACTCGTCTGAAACCCGTTATACTAGAAAAATTGTCAGTCCATTCTAATTGATGCCACGTCTCCGGGAAATTCATGCGATTGGAAATCTCGACACGCGGTGATTTCCCAGCTTGTAACATAAAATTACGTCCGCTATCGGTTCTCATGCAAATTACGTATCGCGACGGTCACGTTGGACATTAATATCGATATATCGATGGAAACAGGAAATCGCGGGATACCGGAAATAGCAACGACGCGACGGTTACGGTTGTGCAACCGCGCTGGTGACTATCTAGCCTGCGCGGGTGTCGTTAACCCCGGGACTCGGGACAACAGCTCCTGTTCCTCGAGACGAGCCACGCCACGATTGCGATCTCCGGTCAAGTGTACGAGATCCGATCGGGAATCCCGCGACGTCTTTATTGCCACTTTCACTCTTGCTTCCTTTTTACCCCTCGTTGAGCCTAAATGTCGCGTTTTAACTCGTGCTGAGGCCCCAATTTCAATTATTCTTACGTCACGGCCAAGTAAACTGTTTGACCGCCGGTTTTCAGGCGCCGGAACTAAGTACGGGTTAAATAAAAATTATTGCGAGTTCTCAATAATGAGAAAATTTCTTAGTTATAGTTCATCTTTCTATTATAATGGAATGAAAATATGCTCCTTATAATTCTTAACACTTTATCGACCGCTAGCCTATTAATAGGCTTTTAGCTATCGACGGTTTTCGTACAGTGGGTTGTTTTTGATTTTGTTTTTATAATTAAGCGGCGTCAACGTCGTGAATTTACTGTTTTCGCAGTAGCTGTATACTAACCACTCCATATCTTTATCAATTATAATATTTTTTTACCGTTTCTAATGGATAAAGACTGTGCAGATGAAGAGTTTTGCTTAGACTAAACCGGTACTTACTGAGTGGCAGCCTCAACCACGACCGGTCGATAAAGTGTTAAGAAAACTGATAACCTCATGCAATTAAATTAGTATTTCAATTATAGAAATGAAACAATGAATGAATAATCAGCTATAAAAATAAGGTAACCAGAAGGAATCTAGTGATCTAACGAAAAACGGTTGTTCTGATTTCAGGCGGTGAAACTGGAGTCGGTGCATCCAGGAAGGACGAGATACTTGGTCGTCGTGTCCTGCACGGGGCGACAGGACGCCGAGGAGAGTTGTCTCCTCGGTATCGATTGTCACGCTAGGGCGACCGTCGGTCTTGTACTACGGGTTCTGGCCGACACCGCCATTACTCTCGACGGCGACGGGTACGTTTAACCATTTTCCAATTTTTCCATTACCCTCCGCATCGTCTATTCTTGTATCGCTTGTCGTTTTATCGTCCTATCGTCCAGCCGCATTCTCGTTTAGATTTTCAAATACACTTTGCTTCTTCGCGTTCTCAATCTGTATCAAACCGTTCTTACAAGTACAATCAAATCGTTTAGATAGTAAATTGATAGCTTTGTACCATTAAATTGGAATTGTAATAAAAATACTTCGATTTGTGCTATTGTAGAAAGATAAATGATACAACTGTGTCATTGCTTTTAACAGATGAGGCA